TAACAGTGAAAAAAGAAATAACAGTGAAAAAAGAGACGACAGTGAAAACAGAGATAACAGTGAAAAAAGAGATACCTAATAGTGAGAAGAAAGATAACAATGAGAAGAAAGATAACAGTGAGGAGAAAGATATCAGTGAGAACAAAGATAACAAAGAGAACAAAGATAACAGCGATAACAAAGATAACAGAGAGAACTAAGATAACAGCAAGAACAAAGATAACAATGAGAACCAAGATAACAACGAGAACAAAGATAACAATGAGAACAAATATAACAGTGATAACAAATTTAACAGTGATAACAAATGTATCAGTGATAACAAATGTAACAGTGAGAACAAATGTAACAGTGATAACAAAGATAGCAATGAGAACAAGGATAACAGTGATAACAACTCATTGTTCGCTCTCCGACCGACTCGTCAACATCAGACGACAATTCCTCTTCAATTTTGTTATCCTTGGTGGCGTCGTAGTTGTTATCAGTGCAGCCACTAGAGTTCTCATCAACCAACAATTCACAATTGTTTTCATTCAAGTCAAAACTGTTGTTCTCGACGCTTTTGTTCTCAGTGAATCCATAACAATTGACTTCAGCGGAGTGATAACAATGCTTCTTGTAAATATTGTTATCTTTTCCAAGATAATCGTTGTTATCGCCCGCCCCATTGTCATTATCGTTGATAATTACAGTAGAACTGTTATCGCGACGTGGGCTGAGTCCAGGATCATCGATATAGATGTTATCGTTATCATTGTTATCTTTGTCATCATCTGGCGATACCTGGACGATTTCTTCTACATCGTTTACGATAAAATCTTGTACTAATTCGTCGTCGATTTCCGCGATCTTAAACGCAGTTTTAACCAACTTAGGATTGCTATCGCAGAACTTATCGTTATCAGTCACCTTATCGTTATCGCCGAGCTTATTGTTATCGCAGAACTTATCGTTATCAGTCACCTCATCGTTATCGCTAAGTTTGTCGTTATCGCAGAACTTATCGTTATCGCAGAGCTTGTCGTTATCGCAGAGCTTATCGTTATCGCAGAGCTTTTCGTTATCGCAGAACTTATCGTTATCGCAGAGCTTTTCGTTATCGCAGAGCTTATCGTTATCGCAGAGCTTATCGTTATCGCAGAGCCTATCGTTATCGCAGAGTTAGCTTATCGTTATCGCAGAGCTTATCGTTATCACAGAGCTTGTCGTTATCGCAAGGCTTGTCGTTATCGCAGAGATTATCGTTAGCGGTGTTATCGTCGGGTTTGCATGATAAACTACTGTTGTTATCATCGCATTTATTATTAAAAATTAGTTTTCTGCGAACTAGGCGCGTTGTTTTCCTCAGGCAAGGAGAAGCTTCGGGTAATCTTGATGATTTCTGACGACCGATAACAGGAGAACAGGGAAAACTGATTGCAGACGAGACGAGACAACAGGCGACTTGATTTGATACGGATAACAGGCGAATGGTTAGTGATAACGGAAGGTTTGTGACTGATTACAGACATAACAGACGACTGGTTAGCCACAACAGGCGAGTTGTGACGGTCAACAGGAAACAAGAAAGTAGAAACAAATGCTTGCTGCTCTACCGTAGATTCCTGTTGATGGTTCAAATTTACAGCAAACAGACGAAGGCGTCGGACCTTCTTGGTGTGGAAAACAGGAGAAAAATCGGTCAAACTTCCTCCCGTTTCCTGTTGGATGAAACCAACGAAGTGTTAACAGGATCGAGAAACGTCCTTCCGTTTCTTGTTGGAAGAAACCAACGGGACTTCAATAGGAGAAACTTCCTTCCGTTTGCTGTTGACAGAAACCAACGGAACGTTAACAGGAGAAACGTCCTTCCGTTTCCTGTTGGAAGAAACCAACGAAGCGTCAACAGGATCGAGAAACGTCCTTCCGTTTCTTGTTGGAAGAAACCAACGGGACTTCAACAGGAAAAACGTCCTTCCGTTTCCTGTTGGAAGAAACTAACGGGACTTCGACAGAAGAAACGTCCTTCCGTTTCCTGTTGAAAGAAACCAACGGGACTTCAACAGGAGAAACGTCCTTCTGTTTCCTGTTGGAAGAAACCAACGGGACTTCAATAGGAGAAACTTTCTTCCGTTTCCTGTTGGAAGAAACTAACGGGACTTCAACAGAAGAAACGTCTTTCCGTTTCCTGTTGGAAGAAACCAACGGGACTTCAATAGGAGAAACTTCCTTCCGTTTGCTGTTGACAGAAACCAACGGAACGTTAACAGGAGAAACTTCCTTCCGTTTCCTGTTGACAGAAACCAACGGGACGTTAACAGGAGAAACTTCCTTCCGTTTCCTGTTGGAAGAAACCAACGGGACGTTAACAGGAGAAACTTCCTTCCGTTTCCTGTTGGAAGAAACCAACGGAACTTCAACAGAATCTTAACGGAGGCTTTATCTTTTCTAACAGATCTGTTGGGAACCCGAGCCACTTTTCGCGTCTGTTGATTACTTCTGTTGATATTAAAAGGAACGTCCGTTACAACAGGAGTCAGGGATCGCCTTCTCCTGTTTTTAGATTCGCGAATCTGTTTTAGTTTCAGCGCAAGGTTCGCGACTCCCGCACGTAAGTCCGAATCCAAGCAAATTGCGGACGCCGTGTCTCGGGTTCCGCTTTTTACTGAATTTTCTTGGTTTTTAACGCCAAATCCCTTATTTTTTATTGGGGAATTTCAGATTTAGGTTCACGTTTTTCTGGGTTTGAGAAGAAATTGATGGGTTTTTAGTAGAGAACTTTTGGTTTTCTCGAGTATTTTGGGGGGTTTTATGTGCAGATATTACGATATCCGAGATTTTCTTCAAATAACGTTGTCGAGATTTGCGTGTTTGCACCGAAAAAGATGTTAAATCATTGTTCTTTTCTAAACGTTTTACTGGCTTCCGGGCATCATTGAGATCATTTTTATCCACAGAAATTTCTTTATTTCTACGGCCTTCATTTCCATCATTTATCTTTCTTCCTACTCTTCCACTATCCTTCCGTCGTTCACTTTTATCCTCCACTTGACTCGCGTAAATTTCAATATTTAGGTCCCCGTTTTCTGTTGCTTCGGCGTCGTTTTCTGTGGTTGCGGTATCATAGAAAACGGAGCGGCAGTCGCGTAGCAGCGAGGACAAACTACGTTGTTCTGAGCACAACTTTTGGCGCACTTCTGTCGTTCGAGAGCCTCAAACTTACGAACTTTCTGAGCATAACTTGACGGCAACATTTTAAATAAGTCATATCTGAAATTGGATGGTGTAATGCGGAGTAAATGGGTGGGAATATAAGGACAAATGGGCATTAAAATTGGGCGAGAAGGTAAGGATAAATGGGCAGTGAAATTGGGCAGGAGTATAGCGATAAATAGGCAGTAAAAATGGGCGGGAACACAGGGACCAGTGGGTGGGCGGTAAAATTTGCGGGAACACAGGGACAAATGGGCAGTAATTGGTGATGTGATAAGAATAATTGCATGCTATATTGTTAAAAAATGTGCTAACTCCTGAATAAATTTTTTCCTGAATATTTTGAATAGTAAAAATTTTACCGATTCACGAATAATTTTTTTAAATATCTTGAATAATAAAAATTTTACCGACACACGAATAATTTTTTTCAGATTTTGAAAAATAAAAATTTTGCCGATCCATGAATAAATTGTACATGTACATGGACCAGGAAACTCGGGGATGTCCAATTCCCGGAGCGACTGCCTCCCCAAACCCCCTTAAACCCCTACCTGAACCCCTTAACTCCTAAAGGAGTTAAGGGTTTAATCCTTAGCTTAACTTTACCCCTTAACATATGATTTAAAATATTTTTATGCATGTATAAATTAATATACAGTAATATATATTATGAAGCTATACATGAATAAATTGTATATTATGAAGCTATACATGAATATATTATATATTACAAATCTATGCATGCATATATTATATATCACAAATCTATACATGAATATATAATTTATTACGAATCTATTCATGAATATATTATATATTACAAATATATTCATGAATATATCATATTTTACGAATCTATACATGACTATATAATGCACATAATCAAAATATATAATATATTACCCGATTTTTCTAATCCTCCTACAGCACGATTAATACTATGCTTGATTAGTCTAGTGAAACCAATTAGGATTTATCTTAATTAACTATCATAGTTCAATTATCATAATTACTTGATTAGTGGAGAAACAGTCGCCCCTGCGTAGCTCATCTAAATAATTTATATAATTATTATTATTAGAAATAAATATGCAAAAAATGATAAAAAAAGCTCCACATACTCTAATAATGTAATATTTACAATTATGTGTTAAATGCTGATAAGGAACATAGATTGTCTAGATGTGAAAATACGGATTTTTCTACCTACATGTAATGTAGGAAACTATACATGAATCAATGCATACATGTTATTTCGAAAACTATGGCGAGTGGGGATAAATTAAGCTTCAATTCAAAGAATATTTTATTTATCCGGATGAATGAAACTGTTGCGAAACTGGCGGTCGGAGAAGACAACGGGTTAAGCCCTTCGGTGGCGCTCCCCCTCAATTATCATAATTACTTGATTAGTGGAGAAACAGTCGCCCCTGCGTAGCTCATCTAAATAATTTATATAATTATTATTATTAGAAATAAATATGTAATTAATAATAAAAAAGCTCCACATACTCTAATAATGTATTATTTACAATTATGTGTTAAATGCTGATAAGGAACATAGATTGTGTAGATGTGAAAATACAGATTTTTGTACTTACATGTAATGTAGGAAACTATACATGAATCAATGCATACATGTTATTATAAATCTATTTGTTTTATACATTCATGTTCATATTTTACATTTTTTATTTACAGCCAAAAAAAACGTTCACCGAATTACCATAAATTTGGAACAACCAAAATCTAGGGAAATTTTACCGAAAAAAAAAACAGAAGAAATTTTAACGGGAAAAAATCTAGCGAGGTTTCCTGAGGGGAAGCCCTCTGCCTCTAGCGGGTTTCCCGCCACAATTAATAATCTCAACAGGACTGTTGACGTTAGCAGTGTTGCCAACCACGCGAATTTCCCGGAAATTTGCGTTCAACAGACCGCCGTTGAATTGAAAATTTTTCGCTACCGGGACCTCGGTTACCGTTTTGCTGTTGCCGCTGTTGTTACTGTTGCCTCTGTTGCCGTTGTTGCTGTTAGCTTTGTTGCCGTTATGCCTGTTGCCGCTGTTGGCACTGTTACCGTTATTACTGTTGCCGCTGTTGTTCTTGCTGTTTGAGGCACAGTTACTGTTATTTTCAGTGCTCTTTACTCTTTCGTTGCTGTTGCTCCTGTTATTACTATTTGATCTGTTGTCCCTGTTACTGTTGCCATTGTTACTGTTGGTTCGGCTGCCGAAGCAACTGTTGCCGTAGTCCCTGTTGCCGTTGTTATTGCTACTCCTGTTGTTACTGTTGCCGTAGTCCTTGTTGCCATTGCTGTTGCTGCCGTAGTCCCTGTTGCCGCTATTACTGTTGCCGTTGCTGCCGTAGTCCCTGTTGCCATTGCTGTTGCTGCCGTAGTCCCTGTTGCCGCTATTACTGTTGTCGTTGCTGTTGCCGTAGTTTCTGTTGCCGCTGTTGCCGCTGTTGATGTGGGGGGCGCTGGTGCCCCCGTTGAGGCCCCAGACGAGAAGGGCGGCCCCCGCTGGTCTCAGGTACTCCGGGGGGAGGTTCGCCCCCCTGCACCAATTATTAACACATTAACAATTAATTATTTATGTGTTAATTATCTTGTTAAATATGTTAATGTTAAATAATTAATAACACATAAACAATTAATTGAAAACTGGCAATTATTAACTATTTACAAATAATTAACTAGCAAAATTTGTTAACTATTAATAAATAAATAATTAAATGATTGATTAACTTGTATATAATTACTACTAATAATTATCAATTATATACAAATAGTTACCTTTTTTATTTATGTATAAACTTAATGATATCAATGGGAAAATAACCCCTTTCTTTTATTATACATAAATTTTTATATTATCATCAATTATTTAATATTAGTAAATTTTGGTTTTCCCCGACTTTCCGAAAGCTTGTATTTTTCAAAAAATGTTTCATTTACAGCAAAGGTTGAGGTCAGGTTCAACAGCAACCAACAGTAAGAGGAAAATTTATACAGCTACTCACTCCTGTTCAACAGTCGTTTCCTGTTTATGTTGTTTTTGTTGAAAATGTTGATGCTCCTGTTGTTTTGCTTCCTGTTGATGCTGCTGCTGTTGTTGCTGCTGCTGTTGATACTCCTGTTGATACAGCTGTTGATGCTGTTGTTTGGGCTCCTGTTGTTGTTGATGCTGTTGAAACTGCTGTTGATGTTGCCGTTGTTGCTGCTGCTGTAGAAACTGCTGTTGATGTTGCCGTTGTTGCTGCTGCTGTTGAAACTGCTGTTGATGTTGCTGTTGTTGCTGCTGCTGTTGATGTTCTTGTTGTTGCTGTTGATGACGGAGCGGTTGCAGTGACCGCTGTTGATATTATCGGCCCTGTTGCTTCTGTTGTTCAACAGGGAACTGACCGGGGGGAGTGACAACAGCGCTCTGTAATACACGAAACTGGCACAGAGCTGTCATTTGGTAACCTGTTTTTCGATCTCCCAAAACCAGCAATAAATTTTGTTGGCTTGTTAAAACAAAATAAGAAAATTGTCAATAATAAGCATTTTCTGTTCTTAACTTAAAACTACGCATAAGCAATTATAAATATTTTATAAATAAACTCACAAAGTAATATAAATATTTTATATATAAACTCACAAAGTAATATAAATATTTTATATATAAACTCACAAAGTAATATAAATATTTTATATATAAACTCACAAAGTAATATAAATATTTTGTATATAAACTCACAAATTAATTATAAATATTTAATAAATAAACTCACAGAGTAATTCAAAAATATTTTATAAATAAACTCACAAAGTTATTATAAATATTTTATATATAAAATCACAACGTAATCATTAATATTTTATATATAAAGTCACAAAGACATTTAAAATATTTTATACATAATTAAAATATTATATAAAATTATAAAATAAAATATATATCTTATGAAATATTTTATAAAATATTATAAAACTCTCAATGCAATCAAGGCGAGGAGCAAGAGACTCTACGAGAGGCGTGGACGTGACAGCGACATGTCCTGTGCGTGTCGTGGACGTGACATCAACCGCAACGGCGTGGGGTTTACCGGGGACACCTGACAGATGGGGAGGAGTAAATGGGGGTAAATGAAGCGGATAGTGTGGAAATATTAACTATGTGGTAAAGGAAGCAAGAGATATTTAACATATAATGCGATAAAAAAAGGCAGAAATTAGAAAGTGGCAACCTAGATAGCGGTTGCCGTGTCGTCTTTAGGTGTATTTAATCTTCGAACCTGCGGTAAATATCCTTTAGATGCATAACGCGCTGATTATTGTTTTAAATTAAGTTATTAATGCGATAAATAACTCATGTAATAAGTCCACAGCGTAAATAGAACAAATTATTGCTATATAAAATACTAAAATAGAAACAGAAATGGTAAAGATCGGCAATCCAGAAAACGTTGCCATGTCGTCTTCAGATGTATTTAGTCTTCGAAGCTGCATTAAGTATCCTTAAGATGCATAGCACGCTGATTATTGTATTAAATAAAGCTAATAATGCGATAAATAACTCATGTGATAAGT